TGTAGGAAGATACGATAGATAGAAACAAAGAAACGATCATTACTATAGTGCAGGAAGAGGCGATATATAGAAACTATCATTACTTGTGCAGGAAGAGACGATAGATAGAAACGATCATTACCAGAAGTGTAGGAAGATACGATAGATAGAAACAAAGAAACGATCATTACTATAGTGCAGGAAGAGGCGATATATAGAAACTATCATTACTTGTGCAGGAAGAGACGATAGATAGAAACGATCATTACCAGAAGTGTAGGAAGATACGATAGATAGAAACAAAGAAACGATCATTACTATAGTGCAGGAAGAGGCGATATATAGAAACTATCATTACTTGTGCAGGAAGAGACGATAGATAGAAACGATCATTACCAGAAGTGTAGGAAGATACGATAGATAGAAACAAAGAAACGATCATTACTATAGTGCAGGAAGAGGCGATATATAGAAACTATCATTACTTGTGCAGGAAGAGACGATAGATAGAAACGATCATTACCAGAAGTGTAGGAAGATACGATAGATAGAAACAAAGAAACGATCATTACTATAGTGCAGGAAGAGGCGATATATAGAAACTATCATTACTTGTGCAGGAAGAGACGATAGATAGAAACGATCATTACCAGAAGTGTAGGAAGATACGATAGATAGAAACAAAGAAACGATCATTACTATAGTGCAGGAAGAGGCGATATATAGAAACTATCATTACTTGTGCAGGAAGAGAGATAGATAGAAACTATCATTACTTGTGCAGGAAAGACGATATATAGAAACTATCATTACTTGTGCAGGAAGAGACGATATATAGAAACTATCATTACTTGTGCAGGAAGAGACGATATATAGAAACTATCATTACTTGTGCAGGAAGAGACGATAGATAGAAACTATCATTATACTTGTGCAGGAAGAGACGATAGATAGAAACTATCATTACTTGTGCAGGAAGAGACGATAGATAGAAACGATCATTACCAGAAGTGTAAGTGACAATAAATGCAAGAAGGGACAATATGTAGAAACAAATAAACGATCGTTACTAGAGCAGGAAGAGACAATAGAAACGATCATTATTACGCCACAGACTTGCTGCAAGTTGCGGGTTTTACCGGCCTGCTGCAAATTGTCAACAAGTTGCAGCAAACTTGTTGCCGTCATGAACTTGCAGCAAGCCTGTTGAAATCAGGCTTGTTGCAAGTTGACATTTGCAGACTTGATTCAAGTTGTTTCATCAACAAGCTTGTTGGATCAAGTGTTAACAAGTCTGACACGATAAAACAACTTGCAGCAAGTCTGTTAAAATTAGGCTTGTTGCAACTTGACATTTGCAGACTTGCTGCAAGTTATAACAAATTTATTTGACTTGTTCACAACTTACAGATTGTGTTTATTGTTTGGCTAATTCGGCCGTGAAGGACAGTTTCCTCAATTATCTTATCGCTCTATACATGAATATTCGACAATGGAGACGTTTGTATTTTAAATTAAAAGGATTATGTGTCCGTACTTAGCCATCTATATACAGCTATTTCTGATGAATTAAATCAGATGAGTTGAAAAGAATAGTAGAAAAAATCTCGCAAAATAAATAATAAAAAATTTTATAAAAATGAAAATTTAGGAACAACTTGCTGACGTGCGCTATCGCTATATTTCTTTAATCTCATTGGATAAAGGCGTGTGCACATGTCATCATTCCTCGTTGCAATTAGACGAAATATTTTAAACATATCAATCACGGAATCACAGAGTAGATACATACAGAGCTGTAACTGGCTATCGTAAACACTGCGGAAACTTACGTTTTCATACCCACTTGTACCCACGTTTTCATGTACACAATGATCAACTGCGCGTGCTCGGCAAGTTCCGCGAGCAGTTAAAGCAAGCCGTTATCCAATGGGATGCATGCATCTAGTGACCTGCCGCACGGGCACAGAAAAGTGGGTACACTAGTCACAACTCTGTATATGTATCTACTCTGTGACGCAATCATGTTTAGTTGTTTTTGAGTCAAACAAAATTTCAACAACTGCCTCAAACAAAATCAAACAAGTTCACAAGGAAGTGGAGGAAGCTTCAAAGCTACTTTGGTTTTCGAAGAAAGTCGCGATAAGAATACAAGATCTAGAGCTTAAGAAATGAAACATATACAAACAACCGAGTGTTCAACGTTCTCCAACGTTGATATGAATAAGAAATTTCTTTCCAAATTTAAAATAAAATCTGTGAGCGAGGAAGACACCTTATTGAAGCTGTGTGTATGTACTATTTTGAAGAAAAATATGCAATTATAATATACAAAACAATGGAAACTCCGAAGAAATTCATATTGTTAATTCAACGTTTCGACTACTGTTGAGTCATCATCAGGAATTATGAAAGCTACTAAAATTTTACAAGTTATAAGTACAGGTGTGTTATAAGATGATCTAATCTGTCAACAAGTTCTAATTAAAGATAACAAGTTCTTTTGACGCTTTAGTCCCATGGTTTAATTCAGGATGCTGTCTGTGGATATGTAAAGCTTCTTTATATAGTAGAAGCGACCAGTTCATAGATTTATCAATAATTACAGTATTGTTAATAACAATTTGAGGTAGTAGTTCTAGGTTGTTGAAAGGTAAAACTAATAGTGGATTTAAATTATAAAAGTGGATTATAATTTAAATCCACTATTAGTTTTACCTTTTAACAACCTAGAACTACTACCTCAAATTGTTCTTAACAATACTATAATTATTGATAGCTAAGTCTATGAACTGGCCGCTTCTACTATATAAAAATTAGCTTTACATATCCACAGACAGCATCCTGAATTAAACCATGGGACTAAAGCGTCAAAAGAACTTGTTATCTTTAATTAGAACTTGTTGACAGATTAGATCATCTTATAACACACCTGTACTTATAACTTGTAAAATTTTAGTAGCTTTCATAATTCCTGATGATGACTCAACAGTAGTCGAAACGTTGAATTAAAAATATGAATTTCTTCGGAGTTTCCATTGTTTTGTATTTTATTAGAATACTCAGTGGTTATCGAAAATATGCAATTATGTTGTCATATTTCGTTCGCACTTAACGACCAATTAATTTTGAAAATTATTTACGATAAGAATCTTTCTTTGTCGTATTTCTTTGGCTGTTTTGCTCAAAAATTATCTCGCAAGTTTGTTATATCAAAGTCTTGTTATGCTACGAAACACTACAACCGAAAAATGGCTCCCTGTTTAACCTTTTTTGTTCAAAATAGTGGATACACTAAGCTTTAATATAAAGCGCTTTTCTCGCTCAACCTTTTGACAACTTGCATCAAGTCTGCAGTTCGCAACTTGCATCAAGCCCGCTGTTCTCAACTTGCATCAAGCCTGCAGTTAACAACTTACAGCAAGTCTGCTGTTCACAACTTGCATCAAGTCTCTTGACAACTTGCATCAAATCTCTTGACAACTTGCAACAGACTTGATATTATCAAGCCGGAGCAAGCGATGCGAACGCATCCTGATATTGGCTTGATGATCGCAAGTTGCATCAAGTCTGCAGCGAACCTGCTGCAACTTGAGCGTTTCTGGCTGTGGTATAGTGCAGGAAGAGACGATAGATAGAAACGATCACTACCAGAAGTGTAAGAAGAGACGATAGATAGAAACAAAGAAACGATCATTCATAGCGCAGGAAGGTACGATATGGAGAAACGGTCATTACACCAGAGCAGAAAGAGATGATAGATAGAATCGATCATCACCAGTGTAGGAAGAGACGATAGATTTAAACGATCATTACTAGTTTAGGAAGAGACGACAGATAGAAACAATCATTACTAGCGCAGCAAGAGACGATAGATATAAACGATCATTACTAGCGCAGGAAGAGACGATAGATATAAACGATCATCACTAGCGCACGAGGATACGATAGATAGAAACGGTAGTTAACAGAGCAGGAAAAGATGATAGATATAAACGGTCATTACTAGCGCAGGAAGAGACGATAGATTGAGGCGTTGAAATTTGCTTATATTTTTCTGGTAATTTGTACATTCATTATTCACGACTCAGCTGTCCGTACTGAAAGCTGTATGCCTTAACTTTACGTTTGGAAGGTCTACTTACTGAACTATATTTCTCTTTTCAGATCTGTTTTGAACAAAATTATCCGCATTCGTAATATCAAGATAGCTTTAATGGTTCAATCTATAGTCACAACGTGTGCTGTTATATATATGATGTTTCAAACGTCAACGTTAGACGAGAGATTGGAGATAGAGCTGATGGATGGACCTTGCCATGGTTGCTGCTCTATGAAGAATGATACTGTACGTGCCATATCAAATGAACCACGTCTTTCGGAAAAACTTCATAAATTTTCCAGAGCGATAAGGAAATACGGCATACCTAAAGATGTAATGAAGATTCTTCATGATGCAGAGCATAAAATTGAGCAATTTGAAAGCGAATTAAAGAAGTATGAGACAGTAAAGTTAGAACGTGTGGACGAACTTAAAAGAACTGTCATTGAGGAAGATATTGCCATTGATCAGGAATTGGTACCTAAATCTAAACCTAGATGGCAACCTGAATCTAAGGAACCTGAAAATCCTGCTTCAAAACCTGATTCGAAAGTAGATACGAACAAACGAGGAACAGAAATTCCAAATGATGTGCATAATGAAATTAAGCTTAGCGTTCCCATATAAAACACGAGTTGCGATTAACTGTTTAAATTTTACTTTGTTGGTGAGGTTTGGCAGATAATAAAATAGTATGGTAAATTATTTTGAAGGTATCAAATGCCTTATTAGTGAAGAAACGCTAGTCTGAAAGCACCTGAAAATCTGAATTTCCATTCAAGAGAAGACTAAAAAACTCGAAACCAAATTAAACTGAAATAAAACCCAAAGCCATATGATCCTGAGAGAATTTGTGACAAAATTTTCAAACGATCCTCATAATGAAATAGAGATAAAGACATGATTTTTCGCGAAGTGAATTGAGATATGTTGTAATTTCAAAACCTCTATAGTCGCAATGACAAATACGTTGCAATGTCTTCATCGTCCACAAATCATGCCTATTTGATATTCACCAGTTTGGTTTGGTCGAGCAGATGCAATTAATATGCAGGCAAAATTAATTACATTTGACCTTTCATTAATTTTGCATGATCATAAATTTTGCATCAATTGAAGCGTTCGCGAAGAAAGATTAAGTCAAGTTCTCACACCATATCTTAATCGACAATATTATAGGTAGCTATATTGATTATTTCATTTCTTTAGAGAGATATTGCAGACAGTATGAAACTGTTTCCTACCTAACAAATATCAATGTACTATAAATAAATATTAATCAGTAGTTAAAAAATTAAAATAATACAATTATAAGTGTTAAAATCATTGACTAAAGAGTAAGTCGACAATGATACAAATTTGTCTGACACCCAGCGCTAAACCCGTGTAAGAACTACACCTAAACACACGAAGTTTCAAAAGCACACTGAAACAAGTTTAGCGGAAATGATGTCACAAACACTTCGTCGCGGTATTCACTGTATATAGTTACGACTTTATTTTATAAACTGGGGTAATATTTAGTAAATTTCGAACGCAAAGTTTAGTAATAACTTCCGGAAATCTAGGGTAACAGGATAGCTCCTATGGTCACCCTCTGAATGTACCAGTCCTTCACATAAGGATTGCATGATGAGCAAAACACCTTCGAAATATGTTGTCGAAGGCGGGAATAAGTTAAGTATTTGGATAAACCTGTCGCTGGTGTGCCTGCCGCTGCATGTATGAGTCTGTCCTTAAAGTGCCTATATCACTCGTGGGACCTTCATATATTTGAAAAGAGCGTTAAAAGTTAGTACTTAATAAGTTCAAAAGATTTTTTATTTAGTGCAATAGTTTTGAGGATATAGCCTTTAAACAACGGACTGTTCCTGAGTCCCAGCCTTCTGGGCTCTAAACACGGTTATTGAATTTGTCCTTTTTCCAAACTGTCCATTGTGCGTAGGAGCCTGGGACTCAGGAACTGTAGGTAGTTTAGAGGCCTGTATCTCCGAAATTATTCCAATAAATAACAAAAAATCTTTTGAACTTATTAACTAACTTTTTATGCTCTTTTCAAGTGCATAAAGGTCCCACAAATGATACAGGCACTTTAAGGCCGCACCTACTTTATAATCTTTCGGCAGGCAGTAAATTGAACAAGGAAGTGGTTCGCTGCGAATATTAGATTTTGATTGCCCGACTGACAGTTTAAGGTGACTATACTTGAATTTATTAGCAATTACATTCACCTCATCATTAAACTTGATTTGTTCTGTGGGAGGGGGATTTAATTTTCTTAGTGATTGATAGTTGTGTGTGTCAATGGTGGATTTTCTGACCATACATTTATAACACATGGAGTCGAGAGCAAGTGTAACCGTTTCGTCTTGTTTGTCGGTGTAATTACAATGTTTTCTGCTTAGTCGCTTATAGTGTAACAGATTTATTGACGATCATTTTGCTTTTTATTATTTCAAATCAAATAACAGCCCAATAACTGCTAATGAGAACCAACTGCCAAATTCACACTCGTAAACCCCATTTAATCCGGATTCCAACACGTTTCAACGTCCCTATGTACATTTTTTTTCTGTGTTGGTATTGTGTACTCAGGTGAATAATATGCTTGCGATGTTACTCTGAGTGCATATCCACACCGGGCGAGCTTGAAAAATATGCCCGGCCACGGTGGGATTCGAACCTACGACCTTTGGAATACTAGCCCAATGCTCTTCCAACTGAGCTACGCGGTCAGGACGGTTCGAGTAAGTGATATTTCGGAACGGATATGCACTCAGAGTAACATCACAAACATATTATTCACCTGAGTGCACAACACCAACACAGAAAAAAAATCATATTACTAGAACACATTGGTATTGAAGGAACTAGATACTGTTCCGAAATACCACTTACTCGAACCGTCCTGACCGCGTAGCTCAGTTGGAAGAGCATTGGGCTAGTATTCCAAAGGTCGTAGGTTCGAATCCCGCCGTGGCCGGGCATATTTTTCAAGCTCGCCCGGTGTGGATATGCACTCAGAGTAACATCGCAAACATATCCCTATGTATGTATAGGTTAAACATCGAGAACACCAAGGGATTTATCTGGCTTAAAGCCGACGTTTGAGATGTTTAACCAACTTATAGCACCATTGGCGATGTTTTATTCCGCAAACAGCTCTTGTAGTTGTGGGACGTAAGATCGTTGGATCCATTGATTCTGACAATGTCAAGCAATCTTTCATTCATGAAATCTGTAAGTTTTCCTATCAGAGATCTTAGTATGGAATCTGATTCCTATTTTATAGCTTTCCACAAGTTTTCCTATCAGAGATCTTAGTATGGAATCTGATTCCTATTTTATAGCTTTCCACAAGGCATCTTTGGAAGTATAATTTTTCCCTTCAGCATAAACTCGTCGCTTGATGATAGACCACAAATTCTCTATAGGGTTTAGGTCGGATGAATTTGGAGGCCAAATCATCCTTGTTTTGTTCTTGAAACCCATGGACTCTAAGTACTGAGTTGTTGCTTAGCAGCATGGGAAGGAGCATTGTCATGCATGTAAATTAGTTTTCTCAATCGCGATAATGGGATCTCTTCCAGCCATGGTTAAAGGACGCTCTTCAAAAACTGGCAGTAAGTGTGAGATGTTAGTTTACTGGTACACGAACAGGTCCGAAAAGTTCATCTCCAACAATACCAGCCCATAACATGACACCCTCTCCTCCCTGTTGGTGTATAAGCGCTCTCTGAAGCTGCACGTGTGTTTAGTGTGTCGTAAATTTTTCTCAATTTATTTCATATTTTGGATCGGTTGTTTCCTACATTGGTATCATTGTTTATTCCTTGGATTCTAAGTTAGCTCCTGCCAATTTTAAAACGGGATAAAAACGGTATATAACGATTTGTGTCCGTGGAAGTTGTACTTGTCTTCAAGTAATATTTACAATATGGCCGGTGTGATGCTTCGATATACAGGAACATTTCTACGACGTTTGAGACCATCTTATCGCCCGAAGGTGTCTGCACCAGTCTACGAATCACTTAAAGCATTGAACATTTTTAAACCGTATCGCTTAAATCGTGGAGGGAAGGGGAAGTTATCCAGTAAAGGTAGAATTCAAACAGTGGTACGACAACAACAAGTTGGTATTGTTAACAATAGATTAGCTAACCTATCCAATTGTATTGGTATCAACATACTCCAATCTCCATCTCGCTTGAATAACAATATTCCTAATATTCTTTTGACAAACATTCGCTCATTGAGGAACAAAGTTGACGAACTTCAACTTGTTGTTGAACATAATTCTGCTGATATTGTTAGTTTAACAGAGACATGGCTATCTGATGATATTTTAACTGATGAAATAAGTATACCGGGCTATAATTTTTTCAGAAGTGATCGTCAAGATCGTTTGGGGGGCGGCGTTGGTATCTATGTTAAGAATTCTATCCCAGTTAAAAGATTATTTGAGTACGAAACTGTCGATAGAGAGTCGTTGTGGTTGGTTTTAAGACCCCCACGTCTTCCCCGTCAAGCTTCATTGATTTTGTATGCGGTAATTTACCACACCACTGCCTCCAATTCCCAGGATGACTCTGATTGTCTAGTCCATATTCAAAATAATGTTGATTCGTTTGTGAATGCCCACCCTGATGCTTTAGTTGTGATAACGGGGGATTTCAATCCTAATTCCACCAATTTGAATGAAAAACTTGTTAAACGTCGAACTGGACTTAAACAATTAGTCAAAGTTAACACACGGGATAGTGGTGTGTTAGACTGGTGTTTAGTCAACAAAACTGCGCCTACTCAATTACCGAAGATTGCTTTTAGTGACCACTATACTATATCCATTGTGGCGAAAAATAACCCGCCCACGGGTACCGCTAACGCAAAACAGAATGATCCAGCGTTTAGGCGAGTTTTAACGGAAAGTAATTTTCATCGTTTTGGCCAATGGATAACCACGGTTGACTGGTCTACCGTCCTTGAACTTGAGGCATGTGAAGATAAATATTTAGAGTTCCATAAACTAATTTCTGGCGCTGTCGATGCCTATTTCCCCTTTAAACGGGTTAAAACTCTGGCGTGCGACAAACCGTGGCTAACATGTAAATTAAAATTTCTTATTGGGAAGAGGCAATCCACATTGGCAAAATTTGGTTGTGTGTCTGAAGAATTTAAATTTTGGAGAAACAGAGTTAAAAATGAGATAAAGGTATCGAAGGCGAAGTATTACAATTCGTCTGTGCAACATCTAAGAGACTCTAATATTTCTCACTGGTGGCGCCAGGTCAAAAAGTTATCCACCCCATGCCGGAAAAGTGAGTGGTATCATCAATTCATTAACGAGGAAACCCCATCATTGGATAATTTGTGTCAAAAAATTAACAACGCCTTAGTTAATATTACATCCAACTTTTCCCCGCTCGATCATTGCCCGAATAGCCCATCTATTCATGTTCCTGATGAGCTGTTAGTTTCAAGTAACGAGGTCTTTTGTGATCTATCGCGCATCAAATCCCGCTCAGCAATTGGTCCTGACGGTATACCCAACCGGGTCCTAAAAGACTTTGCTTTCGAATTGGCCTCAGTTTTGGCGGATATTTATAACTCCAGTATGAAGCAAGGCGTTTTTTCAGAACAGTTGAAGGCATCGATCGCTATCCCATTACCTAAGTGTCATCCCCCTAAAGAAATAAATTCAGACCTACGTCCAATATCGTTGACTAACCAAGTTGCTAAGATTATGGAGGGTTTCACACTTTAAAGGTTATCTGTCGATTTACTTCCTATGCTGGACCAATTTCAGTTCGCTGTTAAGGGAAAATCTACGACTCAGGCCCTGGTCTATTTAATGCATACAATTCTGGGCCATTTGGAAACTGGCGGTTGCTCTATCCGGCTTTTTTTTTGCCGATTTTGCAAAGGGCTTTGATCTAGTCGACCATAGCGTTCTCCTATCAGAACTGAATTGCTTTGGGGTGAACCCAGTTCTCCAAAACTGGGTTTCGGCCTTTTTGTATAAAAGATCTCAGTGTGTTAGAATTGGGAGTTCCAATTCCGAATACAGATATCTTAATGGTGGAATTCCTCAGGGGACGAAGCTTGGCCCATTGTTATTTGCCGTGCTCGTCAACTCGTTAATAAATTCAAGGCACTATCGAGTTAAATTTGTTGACGACCTGACCTCACTGGAAATAATTCCTCGTAACTCTCCGAGCCTTACGCCTTTTTTAGTTAATGAGGTTAATCAGTATGCTAGTACTAGGCATATGAGATTGAATCCGAAGAAGTGCAAAGAAATGCGTATCTGTTTTCTTAAGTATAGATCACCAATTGGTGGTCAGCTGTTAATTGGTGGTCATCAAGTGGATTTGGTTAAGCATTTCAAATTGTTGGGAGTTTTGTAATTGTTCGACTATTTTCAAGCCTTAGAGTCCTCTAAACTGCTCCAGTTATCTAATCGTAGAGATCGTATTTGTGAATCCTTCATGGCTCAACAACGAAAGTCAAGCTCTGTGTTGTCTAAGATCATTAACACTAATTACGAACCTACCATCACTCATTCGTATTCATTACGATCGCAGTCAAGGAGAGTAAACAATGTCCAAACAATCGTAAGAACTAACCGTTTTAGCCAATTTGTAACAAATAAATTTTGAACAATTTATACAGTATATATTTATATATATTTCTATATATAGATCCTTTTAATAATGACATATTTGTATATAATTTAGGTTTAATAATATAATCTATTTTTTAATCATGTAAGTAACTCGTAATTCAGATGTAAATGTTCTGCAAAGAGATATTATTAAACCATTACCATTACCATTATTTAGGGGACTTGAAATTCATTCTGTTCGCTCATATAAGCTTATAATATGTTAACTAAAGACTTACTTGTATTGTTCTTTATCTTCCAATATATCTGTTTCATTTAAAAACCATAAAAGTCTTAATTAAGTCGCCGATCTGAGTAGCTTTACAGATAAAAGACAGAAGTTTGATTTTGTAATTATGCATTTGATTTCAGACCAATTAAATTTCCCTCCACTCAGTTCAATTACCATCACAAGACATTATTTATTTCAAATTACTAAATAAATTCTGGTCTATTGGCTGGCAATAAAACTATTTGGTCTCTCAGAATACAAAGCCTTTACCAAAGGCATTATAATATTGCTAATATGGATATATTTTATACAGTGAATTTACATACTAGCTTGGAAATGTGCATTACCAACTATTTACACAGTATTTGATTTACATACTATGTAAATATTTAGTGGTTAATTGCAAACCCTTCAATAGTTTTACAAACTATTTACATGGTACATTTACAAACTATTTACAGTTAATTTACACACTAGCTGTAAAATGTGCATTACCGACTATTTACATAGTATTTGATTTACATACTATGTAAATACTTTAGTGGCTGCAAACTCTTCAATAGTTTTACAAACTATTTACATGGTACCATACTATGTAAATATTTACATAGTATGTCAATAGATTGTAACATCGCTTTACATAGTATGTCAATTAAATCTTACGCACTATTTACATAGTATGTAATGGAGTTGATTTTTCCAGTGTGTCTCTGCAATATATCGATATCTGGGTTTTTTTCATTATACTTGAATTACATTGTAATATGTGTAATATTAATTATTATAAAAAAAGAAAAGACTAGTCAAATGAATGCTGAAATATAGCTACCAAATTTTGTTAGCTATTGCTCTTCCTCGAAAGCGGAACGGTATTGTACCTAGCTTTTTATCGTTAGGCTCTTTCATCCCCGAGCCGACGGCGCGAAGCGCCGTGCGAGGGTACTAATCCCCCCGGCTATTTACACCCGGGGAAACGAAAGTATTAGCGAAGTCTAAAGTTCATCAATGATCGTGGGCGTGGGTCACCAACGGTGTTCGAGTGTTGGGTGTGTGGTCATCCTCACTGATCTCAAAAATATGGTGGACTGTCATGAAAAGCGGACACTGATTGGTCCAATTTAAAGTTTGCATTATAACGACTGCATGACGACAGCGAAATAGGAAACATTTCTTGATTTAATGATTGATAAATTTCTTGCAAATATATTTCATTTTTGCTCGCATTTTTGCAAGATTTTGTAAATTTCAAACGCATTCTCAAAAAGAAAGGGCGAAAGAATCGGCTAAAAGAAGGGAGCCTACGTTAACGAAGGTAAGTTTGTTCTAAATATTAATTTTATAATTGCTCTAAAATCCGACGGCGGACGGCCTTTGCCGTATATGAAACAACTAAACAAGACAGCATATAATTTCAGTGTATCTTTAATATTGATTTCTTTTTTTATTATATTGAATTTTTTAAATAAAAAAAGAAAGTAAATTTATTTGCATGCGTGAATTTGGAATCATTTTCTTGCAAACTCAAAGTTTATCGATAAAGCCATTTAATTAAAGGCAGTTCAGTTTTATAAAGAACATTAATAATTTAAAGCGTTTTGCGAAGCGTTTGTGGTTGAATTTTACCTTAAATTGAAGCTTATATTACCTAAAATAACATACCTAACATATATATGTTGGGAAATTGATAATTTTGTAATTAAAAGTGATATTTTTAGGCGATTTTTCATTTGTAAGAATATTCTTAAAAAATTATCGTGTTACCATGACTACAATTTTGGATACTTCATTTTCGGGAAATACAATGGTTTTGTCAGCAAGGCGAGGGTTTCTGCATGCATGTATTTTCTATTTATATACAGTATGCTTATAATGAGGACAAAAATTATTGGTTAATTCAGGTTGCCTACGCCGTGAACATCTATATCTATATAGGATCAGGCGATGAAACAAATGGAGAATGTACAAAACTCGTGCGACTGGTGCGAGCATTTTTAACAGGGTATCCGAGGAAACACACATGACATGAATAGCAATATAAATATAGTTCAAAGTCCATCTCCATGCCGTTGTAAGCCGTACATGCCGTTGCCAAGGTGTTCTCGATCTGCATTCGCGGTTTTCCGTTCCGCGATGGCCTGTTGTATAAAATGGTTTAACTGCAGGCTGCAGTTTAACTACATTTTGGGTATAGTTAAATCGCAGTTAACCCTAAAATTTACAATTCTGATTGGACATACAACCCTTATTTAAAGATGCTGTACAGTCCATTCTGCACATGCGTATATTGGAGTCTCTTGTTCGTAATATAAGCAGTTTAAGTTGAAATGCTTGACTGTGCTTCTTTGATAATTTATATTACTGTGGAAACAGGAAAATATATAAAACTGCCATAACTTCGTTGATAAATTTCATTGTTTTAAAAAAAAAAAATGTAAACAAAGCTGACTTGTGCTAACGGATTATACAACTCTAGTTTATAGTCAACTACCTTTTTATACAACCGGCCCCATGCAGGTCATGAATGAAATATACTTTTCATTCTTTTGCAGCCCATGTAAATGTCACGAAAAAGAGCAAAAATAACTGCCGAGTATACGACAGGAGGCACGCGTGCATATACTGCGGGCTGTTGCGTGCAAAGATCGGGAGACATCTGCTTACAAACAGTGGCGTAACATTATATCAAGGGGCCCCCGGTTCAAAATTTTCGAAGGCCCCCCTAGTAGAAGTGCCAAAGGCACGAGTCGAGCGCCGTATATGCACGAGTTTTATAGGGGGTCCAGGGCATTTTTTTTGGGCAGAAAATTTTTGAATCTAGACTCTCTGAAATGCCATTTCCTGGACTTTGGGGAGAGATTTTACAGAATTCTGATGGTCATAAAACGACATTGTAACATATCAGAGGCCTTGGCCAATGTTTTGCCCTAACGCCTAAGCCTGGGGGCCCCCATTTGGGTTGGGGGCCCCCGGGTTCACCCGGTCTGAGCCCATAGTAGTTACGCCACTGCTTACAAAGCACAAGGGGGAGGAAGAAGTTGTGTCGGCCTTGGGACATAGAAAAAACTCGTCCGAGCAGAAAGCAATATTGACCAAGCTTCGTCTCCAGGGTGATTACCACCACAACATGAATACACTGGAGTGTGAAGGCGAGTTAATTACGGTAAGAAGACCAGGGCAGGACGAGACGAAGAAAAACGTCCAGGACTTTCTTCTCTGCGAGTTTTGTTTGGCGTTTTTCCGCAAGTGGGACTTGTGGAAGCACCAGGCTTCATGTCCACATAAACCCCCCGAGTCATCTCACCAACACAGCAACAGACAGGTGCAGCAATCAGCCAAACTGTTGATAGCTCCTATACTAACAGGGAGCGACAACTCAGTGCTTAATAAGATCCTGTGCTCAATGAATCGCGGTGCGATTGCAGATATTGTGAAGAAGGACGACCTATAATAAAGATGCTTGGGGCATTTCGTTTAGAGAAAGAGGGAGAAAGGGATCGCCAGTTGGTCTCCCAAAAGATGAAGGAACTGGGTGGCCTCCTACAACAGTTAATGGTCGTGGAAAATAATGAGGCGGTCCAGTTGTCTGACTTCATAAAGCCGGAGAAATTTGATATAATAATCAAAGCTGTTAGGGAGACCACTGGCTTTATACCGCCAAATCGTGGCCAGGAAGAAGTCAACATCCCATCACTCGCACTAAAGCTCTGGCATTCTCTATTGAAGTGTGCTACACTTCTTCACAATCAAGCGATTCGTGCGAGGAATGACTTGGTGCTGAAGGAGATAAAATACTTTCAAAAATTGATGAGATCGGAGTGGGAATATAAGATCTCGCATCACTCCCTTTCCACATTGAAAGAACGGAAGATGAATGCTGTACAAGTCCTTCCTCTGACAGAAGATATGCGAAAATTGAGAAAGTTCGTCGAACAGGGGATAACTGAAACCTCCAGGCAACTGAAGCTATCCCCAACGTCCGAAAACTGAAGCGCACTTGCTAGGCTTCTTTTGGCGAGGGTGGTGATGCTCAACAAAAGAAGATCTGGAGAAGCATCCAAACTATTGCTTAAATCCTACCAAGGAATACCAGAGTGGACAAAGAGTGCCACGTCAGAGATTCTCTCAAGCCTAACTCCATTAGAGCAGCGGCTATCGCAGCGGTAAGTAAACGTAATCTTATACTATTAATGGTTCACATATTATTTTGACTTGCCATAGTGGCCGAGACTGGTCGTCGACACAATTAGCTCTATCCTAAGTTCTTTGTAAGTTTGCATCGCGATAAAACATACAGTATAATAGTTTTTAACATATAAAGCTTTGCAGTAAGAAATTTACGTGGTGTCTCCGTAAACAAAACTATGATAGCTTTATCCTGTTCGCATTAGATAGTTGTTTCCTACAGTACTGTCATTTTAAAATATAAAGCAGCCAGGCCCGACGCTACGGGGGTGTGGGAGCCTCGCATTGCCGAGGCTACCCCCTAAAATCGTAAGGTCTCTATTATTACTACGGTGACCCCGTGGTTGGAATATACAGCGGCTGTATTATTTAAATCATGCGTAAACGACAGAAGTTCGCACGGATTCTGAAAGCCTGGAATGTTATTTCGACGATTTGTGTTAGCAATGTTTTGGTCAACAGGGCTAATATCTAGTTGTTTATTGCTCGGATTACTTCTGGCGTTTAGTGATGCAGTAAGCGACAATGAATTTGGCGAAGAAAGCTCGTGGGGAAGCAATTCGAATAATGGCCTTCCTAATTTTAACATTACTATCAATAAGAATGTGTTACATTTTTTTGTAATATAGCATTTTAAATTCTGAACGCTGATTGGCTAAGAGCCGTGTTGATATAACTCAATGTCAACACGGAAACGTCGGAAAATTTCTTTCTTTATGTTTCTTTGTGCTATATTATAAAACAAATATAAAACATTTTTTCCGTATTGATAGCCTATATACAGTTATATCAACACTAGTGGAAAATGGGAAAATTCGAAATTGTGTGAAAACACTCTGCCCTTCGGGCGTCGTGTTTCCACACAATTTCTCGTTTTCCCAATTTCCACTTGTGTTGATATAACTGTATATCAACACGGAAAATGTTTTATATTTGTTAAATATGACATTATATAGCATGTATTTTCCCGATAAATCGTCGCGACGCAGCTATAAGCGACGTTTATTTATAGTGAATCACAATATCTCATTAATTAATAGAGCTGTATATAAACCAACGGCCAGATAAGTAATGAATTTATTTTGTGCAGTGTAATATGTTTGTAGTGCGACATGCGTGAACATGAATGACGCATTACGCTATTGGTGTGCGGGTTACACTTTCGTGTGACCACGGTTAATAGAATGAGACCTATATATTAGCCTTGGTGTGACACATGAACAACATAAAGAGAATGTATATATGTCTATTGTCTGAAGGGCGAGTATTTCACACAATTTCGATGTTTTCAAACTTTTACGAGCGTTTTATATAACTCTATATCAGCATTAAACCTTCTTCTGTAGTCCTGTAAAAACCTTCGCAAGGACTCAAGATTTTCTAAAAAAAAGTTTTAAAAAAGTTTTTGAAAAGTTTTTAAAAAGTTAAAAAAAATAAATTTATTTTGTCAGATTTTCAAAAAAGTTAGATTAGGGTTACGGGTTAGTGGTTAGTGTTAGGGGTTAGATGCCGCGAATTTATCATTATGATCATACCTAATTTTAAGAATTTTTTATCACTGCACATTTTTGTGCAAAATTTAGCCGAGCACTAGAAGCACGCCCTAGAAAATTTCTGAACACACCCTTATAATGTGTAACAACAAAGCAGGCTACAATTCATATTCAAAAATGCCAAAACGAACATACACTGCACAGCTCTCAGGGAAATTTGGGGGCCCAGGACAAACTTTGACTTGCGGACTGTTGTGATTCCATGTTCTACAACACTATGATTAGGGGGTCCGGAGGCATCCCCCGGAAAAATTTTGAAATCCATTCTCTGTCGGGAGTACTCCGGATTCTCAGAACACTATAATGGAATGGAATAGAACACGGTCTGAACTGTTCTGACAATTGATGCAACCACTACTTTTAAGAATAGGGGCAGCGAGGCTGAGCATGATATCTATAATTATTATATACACAAGGCCTGGATATGAGGTATTCTGCAATCTGATTGGTTCTCTACTAGCAGGATATTAGCTCATATCCTGCTAGTAGAGAAAAACAAATGGCGGCTCAAACTGAATTTCCGACGTTTGCAAACGAGAAAACGGCAAGTTGTTCGCTTTTTATAGCTTTTTAAAGATTAAAAACACAATAAAAAAACTCCCACAAATTGTTTACAGGTTAGCAAATTAATTTTTAAAATTTAAAATGGTTAAAAATATATATTTTTGAAAAAGTAATCGGCCGAAAGAGCGAAGATAAAAACATAAACAAAGTAGAAAAATATTGAAAATATTCGAAAAGCAAAGTCTGTGAATTCAGACCTTGTGTATATAATAAAACAGTTATTCCACTCACTCTCGTCTAATATGAACGATAGTCGATTCGGCGCTACGCGCCTCATCGGCTATCAGCTCATATTCGACTCGAGTTCGTAGAATAACTGTTAATTATTCATGTGAGGTCAAAGTTATCTGCCGATCAGCTAAACTGAAGAGAATAACAATATATAGGTCTGAATCATTCTCGTACCCAGAGCCCTTCTTACGTGCGTTCGACCGAGCGCGACGAGGGGCTCTGGCCAAATCCATATCAAACTGGCATCTGATTGGCCATAGTT